CAAAAAAAAAAAAAAAAAATCGAGATGGGATCTCATGAAGCCATTGTTTTCACGCAGTGCTCCGGGCCCAGGATGAATGGCTTTTCCCTGATTCCAACACCAGGGTTCTAGTGGGGACATGGGGGGGGCACACCCTGTGCCAGGGTCTCTCCTGAGCCTGCCGTGCGCGTCCGCTCAATGAAGCCCCTGGCAAGGCCAGGATGGGCCGCTCGTTCCCCTCCCTCGTGACAAATGGGGAGGCTCCAGGAAGCCTGGAGCTAGAGGGAGGGACTCACAGCCAGGCCTGGGGTGGTGTCAGCTGTCCCCTGCGTCCCCTGGGCTGCCTCAGGAGACTGTCCCGCCTCGACAGCCAGGGCTGTCCCTGCTCCAGAAATGCACTGGGCCTGTCGTTAACCTAGGCCTGTGATTTCCAATTCGCTTCCCTCCAACCCTGTCCTCCTCATCCTCCACCTCACACCTCTGCAGCAGGTGGGACTTACTGAGCACAAACTAAGCACCTCAAACTGTCCCAGGCACTCAGACACCACAGCAAAAGATGCCAGGCGAGCTGCCTGATCTCCTGCAGCTGGCATTCTAGTGGGAAGATATGATTAACATGGAGCCCATTGCAAATCAAGACAGGAGCCCCTGAAAGGGGATAAAATAAGCTGAGTGACCCTGAGGGCAGCTGCATTAGATGCAGTTTTGGGGAGGACTCCCCTCAGCAGGTGACCTTTAGGCAGAGAAGTGGATAATGAGAAGCTGTTAGCCATGTGAGGATGTAGAGGGAGAGCATTCCAGGCAAGGGGAACAGCAAATGCTAAGTCTCATTTGTCCCCTCAGCAAATAAGGAAGCACCTTCTTTGTGCCCTGAATGTTGCACAGTGGGGACAGAGTTGGCAAGACACACGCTTGCCCTCATGGGGCTCAGTGTGGCAGACAGGAAGTCACCCTCTCAGCAAGCACAGCTAATCCACTGCTACAGAGGAAGGTGTGCTAGGACAGAGTGTCCAGAGCAGAGACGGAGCTTTCCTGTCTTCTCTAGTCTCCATGCCTAGCCCGACATGCACATCATGTGTGTTTGTTGAATGACTAAATGCATGTTCTCTTGGTTCCCATCTTACCTGCTGCAGCCACACTGGGGGCCCTGGAATTCAGCCTTCTCTACGACCAGGACAACAGCTCCCTGCAGTGCACCATCATCAAGGCCAAGGTGGGTGGGGACAGAGCCAGGGCTGCCTCCTGCCTCTCTCTGTCTGACAGCGAGGGCAGCACAGCGGTGTCAGGGCTAAACGCTCCCTCCCGCTCCGTAAAGCAGTGTGAGGCGCTGGCATCTTCCCTCTCAGACCCGGGTCAGCGCGCACAGTGCCTCGATTCCTCTTCACTGAAACCCACGAGGCATGGGTTTTTACGGGCCCCTTCGTACAGATGGGGAAACTGAGGTCTCAGGCGTCAGTGTGAGGTCAGGGCCAGACTCAGGAGTCTCCTCCTCCCCGAGTCCCTCCTTCTCTGTTCCCACCCTAGAAAAACAACCCGGCCTCAATGAGGTGTTTATTGTGTGCCTGGCAGAACTGCATTTAAGCTCAGCATTCTGTGAGGAAAGTATCCTTCTCATTCCCATTTCACAGATGAAGAAACTGAGGCTCAGAGAGGTTAAGAAACTTCCCTAAGGTCACACAGCTCTCTCTTGGGAGCAACATATCTGTAGGTCCTGACTGCCTGAATCTAGCACTCTCCCCAGTACTGCATCTCCCTTCTCTCTCTGGAAGAGGAGACGCACAGGGAAGACCGCCAGGTGGGACAATCAGGGGGGCTGTGCCCTGGCCTATGATGGCAGAGGCGGGAGGCCCTCATGCCCTGGCTGGCTTCCCTTGCAGGGACTGAAGCCCATGGACTCCAATGGCCTGGCCGATCCCTACGTGAAGCTGCACCTCCTGCCGGGAGCCAGCAAGGTACCATATGGGCCACAGCTTCCCGGTCCTGGCCAGCGGCTGGGTTCTCGGCCTGGCGCCCGCACAGCCCATCTGCCCCACGCCGCGCCCGTCCCGGGGCAGAGCTCTCTGTGGCTGAGGGTGGTCGGGGCTCTGCTCCCCCCGCAGCTCTGCAACCCGGGTCCAGGGACTGCCAAGGGCCAGAAAGGGGCACCTCACGCCTGCTCCCGCACCTCCAGGGGCTCCCCAGGCGTCCGACCCACCAGACCCCGCTCAGTCTGCAGAAATGAGCCAGGCAGAGCCCGGGGTTTCAGCTCACCCCGCGCCTGGGGTCGGCCCCGTTCTTCCTGGCCGACCCGGGAGTGTGGCTTCCCAGGCATATCTCTGGCCTTGTCACTCTGCCCTGCTCTCATAAGCGCCCGTTAAATACCTCTGCGGGTGTCAGATGCCCCCATGACACCAAGACACACGCTTGTGTACTTGTGCACACACATGCGTGCACACACACACACACACACACACACTCTCTCTTCCTCTCACTCTTACTTTATTTGGGTCAAAGATAGTCTCTTACCTGCTATGGCCAGCATGTGGATGGTCCCTGCACCCACACCTTCCCGTCAAGACCCTCTCTTCCACCAACTGTGGTACTGAATGCCAGGAATCCCAGCTCTCTCAGAGGCTGAGGCAGGAAGATCACAAGCTTGAGACCAGACTGGGCAATGTAGCAAGACCCCCATCTCCAGTACATAAATAAATAAATAAATAAATAAACAAGCTGGGGATGTGGCTCAGTGCAAAGACTCTAGATTCAATCTCTACTGAAAAATGAAATAAACAGGGCCAGGGATTTAGCTCCCTGGTGCCTCACAAGCACAAGGACCCAAGTTCGATCCTCCATCCCCAGTACCAAAACAAAAGCAAAAACAAAACTACAGAAACAAATAAAAAAGACACTGTTTAGGCAAAGAATCCAACGTGAGTCATTCACGTGTATGAATTAGATTTTCCATCAGGCCTCCTGATCCGGATACAGTTGCATTTCTAGCCTTTCCTTTCACAATAATGAGAAAAACTTTGTCCTCCCTAAAGTATTTCAGGCATGAAGGTCACTGTTTGGGGGAACAGAGGGAACCGCCCCCAAACCTCTCCTGCCTAGGAACGGGAGACTCCTCTCTACCTCCCTGGCCTATAGATGCCGCTTCTCTCTCCTCAGATGGAAGAGCCTGGGGCTCTCTGGGAAAGTGAAGGCGTCGCTGCTGCTTTATTTTAACGGGAGCTCCGGCAGGGGGCAGTGTAGGGCACCCAGTCCTTCGCCTGTAGCCTTTGTCCTAGAGGCCCCACCCCCCGGACTATGCATGGGGCCTCCTGGGGCCCTGACAGGCCTTGGGGAAAGCCGCCCAGCCCAGCGAGAAGGGCTGGAGGACAGGGCTGCGCGCGGCTCCTGGGGAGGCGAGTGAGTCTGACCCTCTCTTGGGGCTCTAGTCCAACAAGCTCCGGACGAAGACTCTGCGGAACACCCGGAACCCCATCTGGAACGAGACCCTCGTGTACCACGGCATCACAGATGAGGACATGCAGAGGAAGACCCTCAGGTGCCCACGGCGGGGCGGCCTGGGAGGCAAGAGGGGGCCCACCCTTTTGAAAACATCGTAAAAAACAGGCATGGTGGCACACACCTGGGAGGCTGAGGCAGGAGGGTCACAAGTTCGAGCCTGGGCAGCTTAGCCAGACTGTGTTCCAGTCAGTCGGGGCTGAGGGTGTAGCTGGTGCAAAGGCCCTGGGCTCGATCTCCAGGAGAAGAAAAAGGCAGAGTTGGGCAGATGTGAAGGTGAACGTCAGACAGGACAAAAGTTCCGCATAGTCAGAGGTCAGGACAGCGGCTGCCTGGGGGGGCAGGTAGTGAGAGGGGAGGACCCTGAGCATCCCTGGGTACAAGAACGCAGTCAGCTGGACTTGAGCAGGGCGCAGACTGGTGTGTGTGCCTGCGCCCCAGTCTGCGCCCCTTGCGGCAGGTGGGTCACACTGCAGCCAAGCCGGGTGCGAGCCCGGCCCAGGATCCAAGTCCACCCCTGTGGTAGGAGTTCAGCATTTGTTGCTCTTTCTCTCCCCGCCCTCGCGTCCCCGGCAGGATCTCTGTCTGTGACGAGGACAAATTTGGCCATAACGAGTTCATCGGTGAAACGAGATTCTCGCTCAAGAAACTGAAACCGAACCAGAGGAAGAACTTCAACATCTGTCTGGAGCGGGTGATCCCGGTGAGCAGCGCCGGCCTCGGGACTGCGGGTCTGCAGCGGGCGGTTGTGCGGGTGTCTGCGCAGAGGAAAGGTGAAGATTCCGGCTTAGGAGGCCACGCCGCGTCCTCCATCTGCCTTCCACCTTCTGGGGTCAGCGTCACCCCTTCCAGCGTTAATCCCGGGTCAGAGCCCAGGCCCGCCACTCGCTGCTCCGTGGCATTGAGCGAGGGAGCCAAAGCCTCTCCTTGGAGCCTCCATTTTCTTTGCAAAATGGTTTCTACGGCGGTGCCTGCTTGTGGGGCGATTGGGTTTCAGACACATCAGAGCAGAGTCTGCTGTGATAAATAAGCATTCCTGAAGGCACAGTGGTTATTACGGGAAATAGCACCGCCTTGTCCCCCATCAGTCACGACACTGTAAGTCCTCAGACAGAGGGGAAGTGTGGCCCATGCAGCCAGGGCCCTGGGTTCGAATCCTGACTCTGCAGATTGAGTCTGGTCTTGGGCAAATCCCTTAACCCCTCTGAGCCTGTTTTCTACTCTGTGAACTGGGATTATGTGGGACCCACCAGAGAGTCTTTTCATGGTTCATTGTTGCACCTACGAGAAGTCACATCACCATCAGAGGTGGTGCGTGACCTCAGGAAAAACAAGGAGTGAGCTGAGCTTCTCCTGCTGGGCTGCACCGGGGGATTTGCACACCAGAGATGTACAGAGACTTGTGCAGGGGCCCTGGAGGTTCCCCCTGAGCAGGGGCGACGGCGTCTTTTGAGATAACCCAGCCTGCCCGATGTGTGCCCGCCCTGAGGGCAGGCTGGCTGGTCGCCCGGCCCTGTTCTCACAGCTCACGCAAAGGAAGTGGACCCCAGAGAGAAGCTTCGGGGAAGGCAGAGGCTGCCTACCACACTCCTCCTCGTCCCATGCTGGCCTAGGAGTACGGCGGGCCGTGCAGCCCGTCTTCCTCCCCTGCTCCGTGAGCCCCAGTACCAGTGGTCAGGACAGTGGCCAGGCCGCTCTGGATCCCGGCTCTGCCCGTCTTGCCGGATGGACACACGGCCCAGGACACAGAGAGCCGGACAGGTGGGCTGCTGCGGCCCCAGAACACAGCGAATGGTCTTCAGCTCTTTGCCCTTTTATTTCTCTCACCACCAAGGACCTGCAGTGACCTAAGAAATGCTGTGCCCTCCCTGTGGACTCCAGACGATTTAACCAGTGGTTTGCAAACTGTGCTCCTCAGAGCCTGGGGGCGCAGGCTGGGGTACAGACGCTGTGGACCTGACCCCAAGCCCTCAGCCCTCAGCCTGGGCAGACGAGACCCGATCTGACTTCCGGGCGGGTGCTCCGTAAACTGGGCTCCGGAAGAGAGCCCCGGTCCTGGGCGGCGGGAGGCGGGGAGGGAGAGGTGCGGGAGACCCCGCCTCGCGCTGACGGGAGGGAGGAGCCCCACAGACAGCGTCCTCTTCGTGCTCTTTTCTCCCGTCCAGATGAAGCGCGCAGGGACCACCGGCTCGGCCCGCGGCATGGCGCTGTACGAGGAGGAGGTGAGCCAGGGTGGGGAGCGGAGCCGAGCGGGGCCTCTCTTCCCTGCCTGCCCGGCCCCGCTTGCGGGAAACCCAAGAGTTCCTCGGCCTCAGGCTCGAAGTTCTGCCGAGGTCGGTGGGAGAGGAGAGTGGCGACGTGCACGCTCCTCCCGCCCTGGGGACACGGGGCAGGCTCCTCGGGCTGTGCGGCTGCAGGCAGAGGATCAAACCTCCGTGACCCCGGCGTGTGTAACTGAGCAGACTGCGCGGGTCCAGGAGTCTTTGATCAGGGTCGGAGATGTGGCTGGAACCAGGGTGGGGCTCGGTGCTGGGTCAGAGCCAGGCTCACTCGGGGGTCCGGGTCTAGTTCCCCGCATGCGTCCCCCTAGCTCCGCGGGCCGGGCCGCTGTCCGTGGTGCTGACCCGCTGAGCGGGCTGCCGGCCACAGAGCAGAGCCCCTGCCTTCGCCCCAATGCAGCAGGTGGAGCGCATTGGCGACGTGGAGGAGCGCGGCAAGATCCTGGTGTCCCTGATGTACAGCACGCAGCAAGGAGGACTCATCGTGGGCATCGTCCGCTGCGTGCACCTGGCCGCCATGGACGCCAACGGCTACTCAGACCCCTTCGTCAAGCTGTGAGTTGGGGCCTCGGGACTGAAGGGACCGTGAGGGTCCCAGGCCTTGGAAAGGGAGAGTCAGAGGGCTTCCCCCGAGTCGCAGCACCTGAGACCCAGACAGGGGACGAGCCTGGCACCGTCTCAGTGACGCAGGTGCTGGAGTGGGAGCCGGCGCCTCAGGTGTTGGGCCGCGTGGCGATTCTGTCCCTCCTGGGGACAGGTGGCCTGGTCATGGGGCCCCTGGGACCCCCAGGAGTTGGCTGCGTTCACTGTGGCATCTCAGAACCCCACTGCAAGGAAGTCGGCTGACTTCTCCCCGACTCATTCTGCGAATGCTCCAAGGAAAAACCTGAAACCTGGATCTTATTCTGCCACCCTCGGTCCTGGGGCATAAAAGGCAGATCCAAGCACATCAGTCAGCCCGTGTCCGCCCCGGAAGCGGAGATTGCAGTTCTGCTTCTCTCCAGGAGGGGGCGCAGGGCTCAAGCGAGACCGCATACACTGTGAGGGTGTTCGAAAACCGAAAATGCTCGCGCAGAAGTGTCTCCGATTTTGTACTTTTTTAAGATTTGGCAACATTTATATCTACATAATAAAATATGTTGGGTAGTACCCAAATCTAAAAACAAAATTCATTTAGGTTTCATATACACCTTTCACCATAGCCCAAAGGTAATATATTTAGTTCACCTGTGTTTTGACTGCCACCGTCACACCGATTTCTCAAAGTTTCAGATTTTGAAGCATTTCTGATTTAGGGATCAGAGATGCCCAACCTGTATGCAGCAGTTAGAACTGTGCCCAGTGTCCGAATCTTTTGCACCTGAGTAGAATCCTGCCTTGCTGTATGGCTGCAAAGTGTGTTTTTGTGGATATGGTTAGGGACGTGGGCTCTGGATCCAGACTGCTCTGATAGGCTCCAGTATTCTCCAGCTGTGTGACATTGGGCTTGTGGCTTAACTTCTCTGGGCCTCAGTCCGTGTCCTCTTCTGTAAAGTAGAGCGAGCAACATTGTGCCTTGTTCATCCAGCTGCTCTGAGAAGGAGACGCCAGGAGCGCATGAGATATGCAAGAGATTCATTGGGGAAAATGCCTGTGAAGGGAATCAGGAAGACACAGAGGCCTCTGGAGACAGCAGAGCTCGTCTGCTTTACCGGGGACCTGATTTATCAAGGAAGAGAGAGGGAGGGAAGGAAGATGGAGCAGGAAGACCCCCTGGCTGCTGTGCAGTTCCAAGAAGTTTCAGCGGGGCCGTGGGGAGCCCTCGAGCACAAAGCTGCCCCCCATCCGAGGAACCCCAGGGGGCTGCCCCCCCATCTCTGCAGGCCTGTGATTGGCTGAGGGCAGCATGACGTCAGTTCACAGCCCAGAAGCTTTTCTGTCCATTTCAGTCCCTGTGGTTAGAGGTCTGAGAGGTACAGTTTCATGGGGTTTCGCACATAATAGGTGTTCAATAAACACCTGCTGTTTTGGTTATGAATGACTACCCTGGCTCTGTGGGTTTTCTATGAGGATTTAGTTAACAAAAACACACATGCCAGGGATGATTGTGAGTTTTCGGGGTAATTTGGTTTTGTTTCCTCATGTGTGCCAGAGAGATGAGCCCTGCCCTGCACATCCTACAAGCCCCTGGTTCCTGAAATAGCCCTCTGCACCTCCCGTCTCCCACCTGCTCAGTGCTGCCAGCTTCAGTCCTGGAAAAGGCAACAAATAGAAAACCCTTGGGCTCTCTGTGACCAAATAAAGATTTTCTAATGTAGAAATCAGTATCTTTCCATTCCTCGCTTGTGAGTCTTCCTAAAACCACTCAGTGAATGAGAAAGAAATGTTTTCATTCTTTACAGGAAATTTATGTTCATGTTTAAATTTGTCCAGAGAGTCACAGCCTGGGTCACAGCCCCAAAACCCCAACCTGAGGAGGTTTTCACCCATTTTTTTTACTCACCTAGGAAATATTTGTTTTATCAGAAATGCTTTATAGGGGCTGGGGATTTAGCTCAGTGGTTCCAGCGCCTGCTTCGCAAGCACAAGGACCCGAGTTCGATCCCTGGTACAAAAAAAAAAAGAAATGCTTTACAGGCAAATAATGTTCAGACATTATGATAATTAGCCTTTGTCTTCTTTCACACTGTCCCTGGCATATTTATTTTCACCCGGAAACTGACTGGGCACCTATTATGTGCCAGGCATGGGGGAAGAGCTTTAGAGACAGAGGACGTGGTGTGTGCAAAGGCCCTGGGGCAAAAAAGAAGAGTAAGCAATAGGATGAAGAACATGGCACAAGACTTGGCTAGGATGGAGCGGGTACCCAACCACACAAGGCCAAAAGACTAAATGAGGATTTTAAACTCTGTATTGAGTTCTGCCACCAGCCATGGCTCTCAGTTTGGTCCTTTGGGACGCAGTGGTGGCTAAGAGCACAGACGACAACCCAATAGCTGGGTGTCATCCTGGCCACCTCTGGCCCCCGAGGAGCTTAGCGCCAGGCCTGGCACCAACCAACCGAGCCCTGCCACACACTGGTCATTGTCACAGTGTTGCTGCACTTCCTGATTTGCCCCTTGCTGTCACCCGAGGTTGAGAGGGGCCTTTGGGTCATGGCGGAGCTGTCCTCATTTGTTAACTCTGTGCATTTCTGCCTCTGTGTCTCCTTGCAGCTGGCTGAAACCGGACATGGGCAAGAAGGCCAAACACAAGACTCAAATTAAGAAGAAAACCTTGAACCCTGAGTTTAATGAGGTAAGGCCGCCCCGCCCCGGTCACACTCTTGTGAGCGAGAGAGGAACAGACTCCTGGAATCGTGTGACCACGTCAGAAAAGCTTTGGGACTAATGTAACATCATTTCCAGTTATGTGTAAAGAAATAAACAAATGAATTAAAATGCAAAGAAAAAAAAGCCTTGGGGCATAGATCAGCTTGAATTAAGGAGAGGGAATGAGTTTCTTGTCACCAGCTGAAACCAAGCCTCAGACAAAAGCCTGCAGATGAGGAATTCACAGGGAGGAAGCTGTGCTTGGAGGGAGGCTCAGCCCAGTCACCTCCAAAGCCTTCACCCACACAAAGGCTCAATAAAACTCCAAGGTGAGGAAGGAAGTAGGGTTGGCGCTTTTCTCCCCCCACGTCCACCAAGGCCCGCTGGAGCCGCTGGGCCCTGACGGTCAAGCCCTTTCGGACTCCCCTCCAACCCCTCGTCTCATGCTCTCGTCACACAAAACTCCACACAGATTCCTTTGTCCCTGCCTCTCTCTTCTGTCCCTTCCCTCCCTCACAAACTCCTACTCATCCCTCAAAACATAAAGCATGCTTCCCGTGTTCCAGACTCTGTGCAGTCATCACTCCTGCCTTACGCTACACCCGGATCTCAGGTATCTGCCGGGCCATCTGGCAAATGAAGGAAGGATGGGGTGGAGCGCAGGGCGGAAGAACAGAGGAGCACAGGGAAGGAAGAAACCACAAGCGGGGGCTTGGGAGATGCCAGTTCGGAGCCTGAACTCAGCCCTTAGCCTGGCTCCATGCCCAGAGCAGGCGCGAGTCTGGGTTCCCAGCTCCGCGCCAGTCCGGTGCTTCCCGGCCCTGCACTCTCCCTTTCTGGTCCCGTTCCTGAGATTCGTGTTGGGTCAGAGCCAGCTAATGCTGGTTGTCATCCTGTGGGGTGGAGTCTACAATACAGGATTTTTATTATTGTTTGGGCTTTATGAATAAATACCCATATCACAGAAAGGGGGACTCTGCTGTGTAAACAGAGGCCAGGGTCACCCCTGACCTGCTGGCTCTGCCCTTCCACCAGACACCCGACTTCCTCACAGGGACTCATGGATTTCCCACTGTGCCACCCTCTCTCGGAAACTGATCAAGTCTCAAAATAAGATATCCATTCAATGCTCTGGGAGGCTGAGGCAGGAGGATCTCAAGAAGTGCTTGCTTCAGCGGCACACATACTAAAATAGGAGGATCTCAGGTTCCAGCCTGAGCAACTTAATGAGGCCCTGTCTCAAAATTTTAAAATGAATAAAACGTGAGCATGTAGCTCTGAAGGCCCTGGGTTCGACCCCCAAAACCACACACACAAAAATAATCTCAAACCCAAGTCCCAAATATCAACACCAAACCCCATATCTCACAGCAAACTGGCCCCAAAATACTTTGAAATGTGGACACGCAGCGTGGGTGAGTGTGTGGAGAAATGCACACGCTCCTGGGTGGAGAGCATTCTGGCCCAGCCTCCGGAGGAAAGAGTGGTAAAGTCCTTCAAAAGCTGCAAAATCCTTCCAAGTCCACTGATGTGGGGAACGGGTGATATAGCCAAGTATTTTAAAGTTCAAACAGTACCAGCGGGTATTCAATCAAAATCCCCTCCTCCCCCAGTCTCTGGCACCTACTTCTTTTCCTCTGAGACAAAAATATAATTCATTTCTGAGATTTGTCTAAATATATGTATATATGAGGTGTGACTGCAGTACCTAGTGAATGTTGACATTTAAAATATTTATTATAGTAAAATACACATCGCCGTGAATCCAACCTGCAGTCCCCTCGCTTCAAACACACTTTTCCCATCGTTCTTTCTGGAGCAGTTCCTGGAGCCCTATTTTGTGAGTGTCTCTGTGCGGCGGGATTAAAACGTGGTGACTGCTGCTGTCAGGTGCCAGCTAGAAAGGCGGGCCCGTGAGCACACACAGTGTGGCTTTATCCCCGGATCTGGCCCCACGCAACTCCTGGCTCCTCCCCAGAGCAAAGTGACCACGGAAGGTAAATGTTTTGCATTGATTCAGGACATCAAGGCAGCCACCACAGCGCAACTAAAGACCCTCACGAGAGAGGATGCCGGAGCTGCTTCAGAAAGTGGCAAGAGCGATAGGATGAGTGGAAGTATTTTGGGGGGGTTCGTGACAGCGTCTTTTACTGTGATCATTTTTTGGTTTAAACATTAATCATAGCCGGGAGTGGTGGCGCACGCCTGTAATCCCAGCACTCAGGAGGCTGAGGCAGGAGGATCGCTGCAAATTTGAGACCAGCCTGGGCTACATAGTGAGTTCCAGGTCAGTCTCAACTACATAGTGAGACCCTACAAAGGCGAACGCAAAAAAAAAAAAAAAAAAAAAAGCAAACACATTAATCATATTTTATGTGTGGACTGGTTTTCTTTTTGTGCACAAATGACATCACAATACAGCCACTGTTCTCCATCTTACACTGCCACAAGCTCAGAAGTTCACCTCCTAGAAATCCTGAATAAATTATCATGCGTGTACGTAAAGATTTTGCTGCAAGGATGTCCTTTAAGGTATCATCAATGATAGTGAAAAACTGGAAAAGCCTGGACACTCCAGTGAGGGGTCAGGCCAGTGGTGACAACCCTATGGCATGCGTGTGGCAGCTGGATGTTTATCATCTCCGAAAGCTCGAAGGTTCCCTCCCTGGCTTAGGCCATGGTGTAGCCAACCAGCCATTAAATATGGCTATTTAAATGGTGATGTGGAAAAGTGTTTGTAAAATATTTGTGACTATACTGTTGGGTTTGCCATAGGCTACACAGTGGGGAAAGGAAGCTATAATATGCTCCGTTCAGTGTTGTTTCATACTTTATTTTTAATATTTTTTCTGGTGTCGGGAATTGAACTCAGGACCTTGTGCTTGCCAGGCAGGTGCGGTGCCTCTGAGCTACATCCCTGGCCCTAGTTTCATATTTTGAAAACTCACATCAACATGAACACACATGGGAAACTATTGACAGTGGCTATTCTTGAGTAGTTGGGTTACAAGTCTTTTTTTTTTTCTCTCCCTTATTTTGTTGTTTGGTTTGGTTTTTTGAGACACGGTCTCGATGTGCAGACCAGGCTGGCCCCGAACTTACGGCGATCCTCCTGCCTTGGCCTGGGATTACAAGCACGCACCACTGTACCGAGCTTATTTGTTTGCTTTAGTAATGAATATGAGTGAATTTTCTAATTGGGGAAAATTATTTTTAAAAAATCAGGTTGTTTAGGAGCAAAAGTACTTGGTCTGCTTTCACCGTCTTTACTTCCTAAGAAGGAGGTAGGCAGAGCCCTTCCGAAGCCCAGGAAGGAATGACGAAGCCTCCAGAACCCGAGCAGGCCCGGTCCGGTGGAAAATCCCCGCCACCTCCCCCTCCAAATGCGGCCTTCGCTGCACAGGTCCCGGGCCTTGTGCAGCGTTTGATGAAGGGGATCTTTGGGCTGCGTTGGAGGCTCCCCGGATGCCCCGCTCCAGGGTGCTCCTCAGCCCGTGATCCCCTCAGTGGGGTGGAGGGACCCTCACTCCTCCTTCCATTGCCGCACACAGGAGTTTTTCTACGACATCAAACACAGCGACCTGGCGAAGAAGTCACTGGACATCTCCGTCTGGGACTACGACATCGGCAAAGCCAACGATTACATCGGTGAGCTCCCCGCGCCAAGGGAGCCCCTCCCTGTCCTCCCGGAAGAGGAAGCTTTTCAGGGCTGCGGAGGGTCAGCCTCAGCCTCGGCCCGGCCCCGTCTTGGTGCAGTCCTGTGGGCCCGACCCTGGGTTGGAGCCCGGGACCCTGACTTTGGTCCCTTGGGAGTTGCCTTTGTGAGACTGGGCTCGGCCCGAACCCAGAGCCTGCATAGAACCATTCAACCCTAGCACAGTGGGGTGGGTGGGGTCTCTGCAGAAAATGGTACGAGGAATTCCCCTAATGTGCTTGCAAGTCTGCGTCTTCCTGGCCTCCTCCAAAGGATAAGGAAGAGATGTGATTAAAGACAGCTCGGAGGGAGCTCTGGGCAGAGGCAAGGACCGCGCAGCGAGATGAAACTGAGCCGGTGCCAGAGTGAGAGAAGCAGTGGGGAGCGAGTGTCCACGAGCCGGTGCTGATCTACAGGAAAGCTTTTAAAAACAGACGAGGAGTTAGGACTTGGTGCTGTAGTACGGAGCCATGGCAGCTTCTTGGGGCACAGAGGCCCACGGTAACACTTTAGGGCCTAAAAAGGGCATCCTCCATCTTGACCCCTCTCCCCACCCTGTCCCCCAGGAGGCTGCCAGCTGGGCATCTCAGCCAAAGGAGAGCGCTTGAAACACTGGTACGAGTGTCTGAAAAACAAGGACAAGAAGATCGAGCGCTGGCACCAGCTACAGAATGAGAACCACGTGTCGAGCGATTAGGACGAGCCCTAGTTCCCGCCTCCATGTGCTCAGCCGCCCCGGCCGCCCACTGCTCCCTGGTCTGCCCTGTGCCCGCCTCCCCGCCCCGGCTGCCCTCCCCAGCCCGCCTTGGGCCCCCACCGTGGGCACCGCTGCCAAAGACCTGCTCCTCCGCCTCCCTCCTCCAGCTCCTGATGCAGCCCTGCCCTGGTCCCGTGGGGACCTGGAGAATGGGCACCGCTGCCAAAGACCTGCTCCTCCGCCTCCCTCCTCCAGCTCCTGATGCAGCCCTGCCCTGGTCCCGTGGGGACCTGGAGAGGGCTCTGGAGAGCGGATTCACCCGACACCCTCCCATGCAGGGAGATGAACAAGGTCTTCACCATCTGGGGATGTTTCTCTGCGCTCCTGGACTTGAACACACACACACACACACACACACACACGTGCCGCGTGTCCCCTCGGACCCTCACACCGTGAGGACACACACTGGGGCAGAAATGGGCACACCCAGGATCCACTCCTGCTCCAGGCACCGCAGGGCACCCGGGGCCTCACTGCCCACTCTTTCAGGAAGTCATCCATCTGCTCATGGCGAAGATAACCCTCCGCACCGCCCTCTCTCCACCCGCTCCCCTTTCCCTAGTTCCCACCAGGAGAAGCCCCTGGCCGCTCTCTCCTCTCTACCCCGCCTCCCTCCTCCTCCTCCTCCTCCTCCCTGGTACCTCCCCCCCCCTCTCTCAGCAGAATAGCAAAAACAAAAGCTGGGTCTGAGCCTGGAGCCTGCTGCCCAGCGCTGGCGCCTGCCTCCTAAACTCCCCACTGCTGCCCTTGGCATGGCCAGAGGGCCTGGGGCTCTGGCCGGCTGCAGGCACAGCCCTGCACGAGGCAGCACCCCACAAGCTGGCGGATGCCCCCAGATGGGCTCTGCCACCCCTGCTTCCCAGGTGGACCCAGCTACAGGTCCGGCCAAAGCCCCCCACATCTCCTTCCTCTGTGCTGGTAAAAGAACAGCGCCCCCCACCCCGTGCTGTGACTCCCTTTTCCTTCCTTGGTATCTTCTCTCTGCAGAAAGTCTCTCTGTCTCTGTCCGTCTCCCTGTGTCTTGTACGCTCTTTCCCCAAGTTCCCAGGGGGGAAAAATAACACTGCAGATATAAAATTTTAGAGTGGGGCCAACCCTGATGCCAAAGGCTTTTGGTCCCTCACGAATGGAGATGAACATAGTTTGGAGGTGGAGATCAGGCAGTCTTCAACCCCCTAAGGACGGTGTGGTTTTCCGACTTTGATTAGGTCTTTCCCCATGAAAACGACCACAGATCCCGAGCCCTGGCGTCAGACTCACACAGAAACTCCTACTGCCCGAACTCACGCCTCTGACCGCCCCCTTTCGATGCCCTCCACCTCCCCACACAACCTGCAGAGGACTCGGTTCCCGCCTCTAAACAATCATTCTCTAAACGCCCGGCTCCCCACCTTCCCCAAGGTGGCCAACGGCTTCCTGGCTGCCGTCCTTCCTCTTGGCCTCAATTTTCCCTTTAGTTCCCCGCGGCACCCAGGCAGCCACCTTCCCGCCACGGCCCGCCCTTAGGAGAATGCATGCCGGCGGTGTCGCCGAGCCTGGCGCTGGTGTTGGCACTGGGATGAACGTGCTCAAGTGTGCTGTGCCCCTGGTCTGGGCACACGCTGTCCCAGACACACGCAAGCGCCTCCTGCCTAGGACACACACGACCCCTGGTGCATGCCCACCACCTGCCGCCTTCCTCTGTGATGACGTAGCCAACAATAAAGTAGGAAAATCCAGGCAACTGTGGTCTGCAGCTTTCCTTGCTGATTTCTGGGAGTTTCGCCACCCTGAGACACATGCCGCTTGCTACCTGCCCTTGTGTGCTAAACGTGCCTTTGTCTCTGGCCCTGGGGCTGCAGCGGGTGGACAGGGCAGACATGGGGTTTCTGTCTGGTGGATTTCATCTCTGCGCGACTCCCATGTCCTCCTAGAATACTTTCTGTGGGTACCCACCGCGCAGGGAGGTTCCCTCTCTCCCGGCTCAGCCCCTCAGGAAAAGTCCCAATGGTTGTGGAATCAGGTATTGCTGAAGTTAAAAGAAATCACAGGATAGAGCCGGAGCCTGATTCAAGCAACTCAATTATCACAGAGAGGAAGACAAAACATCAAGGCCCAGTGAAGGGAGTGACACACGCGTGACATTTTAGAGGCAATGCCCGGGAAGGAGCCAGGATGCTGGACCCACACTGGCCAGTGAGAGCAGAGATCATCAAGCATTTCCCTTGCATCCGAGCAGCTCCCTACCCAGGAGAGCCTTTCCCAACAGCCCCTCACGGGATTCTCTGCAGTGCTGGAAGACAGCTCAGTAGGCGACTAAGCTTCCTGGATGGGTCTTAATTCCATTAGGCTTGGTCCCCAAACACTTCAGAAGTGTTGGTTACTTCCGGGAAGAGGTTTACTTCCTCCCGTGCAAATGCCTCTGCCCTCCCAAGTTCAAGTCAAGAACCTTTGCCCATCCTGAAATGCTTTTCTGCAACAAGTTGCAAAGAACCTGCCCCGGCTGAGGTGAAGTCCCCATTTCCTCTGTAGCGGGACGTCCGCAGACCCTGTCCGGTGACACCAGAAAGCACCTGCCCAAAAATCATGCCAGCCTTCTGATCTCACTCAAATCCTGGCCTGTCACGGGCCAGGTCATTTTATCTCTCTGGATCTCAGTTTCCCCATCTGGAAACTGGGGGCAATAAACACTTCAGAGCGTTACTGAGCGGTCGTTACTGAGTAGTTCAGTCTCTGGCATATGGATAAATGCCATTCAGTTTGCTGGCCCCTGTGTTTGGGCTGCCTTGGGAGCACACAGCGGGGACAGTGCTTCCAAGGTGGCATTGGTGACACACAAGGGACATCGGAGCTAAGAAAGGCAGGAGCTCCTGGGACACAGAAAACAGATCTTCCGGGTCTCCCCCAGGTGGGAGCTGACCAACAGCCCGAGGTATTCATTGGGAGCGAAAGTTAGAGGTGATGAAAAGATGCAGCGCTGGTCCACAAAGGGAGCCCCAGGGAGCAGAGCAGGGGGCGGGGGGGGGGGACAGGCAGCTCCTGGGGAAAGCAGGGCACGCCCAACGCACCAACGCACCTGGTACTCCATTGTCCTGAAAGCTTCTGAGCTGCCACAGGGGTGTTGGCCTTAATGAGGCTTCATGATAGACCGGACACAGGAAAGCCAGGCACAGGCACCGGTCCAAATATGTTGTGCGACCCTGAGCGAGTCCTCTCCCTCCTCTCTCCTCCTCGGGCCACGTGGGTGGAAGGTGAGATGTCACAATTCTCTCACTTAATCGGCACAGCCACACATGCACCCATTTCCCAATCACTGAAGAGAGACCGAGGCCTTCATCCGAGGGTGGACACCCTGCCTAGCCCTGAGTGTCTTTGTCAAACAGCACAGAAATGTGTCCTCTGTGATTTCCTTTTTCTGGTTCTTCAAAGGGGACAGTAACTTAAAGCCACTCGCCGAGGCCTGAGGATATGCTGGAGTTCTCCAGTTACCTCCTCCATCTTCTACAGTTTTCTTTTCTCACTCTTAGATTATTGTCCACAGAAATTGAGGGAATTTGCCTTTGCTGAGGGTTCAAAAAATTCACTGCTGGTTTTCTTTTACACTCATGTGTATCCCTATCCTGTAGATTCTACTAAAAAGTTTAATTTTCATTAACAACTACAATGGCCGTAAAGACATCTGGGAACAGAACAAACCTTACACACACCGTCCAGCTGTCGAGGGAAGGGAGCCTTGCAGGTGACATTTTGCTCAAAATATAAGTCAGCACATTAAGAGCAGAAGAAGATAAGGTCAACCAACTGATCAGCTGGTTAGGAGAAGGGCTGTCTAGAGAGAGTTAATTGGCGTTTACAGACCATTTTATCCAACAACCAAAAACACATCCCTCTCAAACTCACATAGAACATTCATGGAAACAGAGCACCTAGACCACGCTCCAGGCCAGAAATAAACCTTAAGAATTAAAATAAGAGATGTCATTCAAAGAAAACTTTTTGCAGCAATGGAACTAAACAAGAGTTTATAAATGAAAGATAGCTAGAAAGTTACAAAATGCATCAAGATTAAAAAATACATTTCTCAATAACACATGGGGCAAAAGAAGTCTCCAGAGAGATTTAAAATGACTTTGCATTAAATGAAAATTGAACAACGACCCATCACTACTTGTAAAAGCAGCCAGGATCAGTGGTGAACGCCTTCAGTCTCAGCCCTCCTGGAGGCTGAGGCAGGAGGATGGTAAGTCTGAGGTCAGCCTGGGCAATTTAACGCAGCACTGCCCCAAAATTTTAAAAAAAAAAATGGAAAAAAAAAACACACCTCTATTTGCTATAACAAAAATCCAAGGGATTAAACTAATTCTAGCTACAAAAAAAAAAAGATAACATGTTAGTATCAATTTACCTGTTACAATGTTAAAAATACTGGAGCCTGGGGGTGCTCTCAGTAGTACAGTGTGTGCTGGATTTGATCCCCAGAACACAATAATAGTAATTACGAGGATGGGTAATTACAGATGGAAGGAGAGGGGTTTATGGGAATTCTGCACTTTCTGTTCATCTGTAAACCTGAAACTGCTGTAAGAAATAAAGGGAACTAAAAGGGAAACCATATAGCATGATAGGATTTTTACAAAAAGAAAACTCTGTTCATGTGTGGTGCATGCGTTTTCACACAGAAAACATCTGCAGAGCTCGCACCCCACATGTGTGCAGGCAGTTTAGGGTTTCAGGAACAGAGATGATCTTTCCACTTTCTGATTTTTCTAAGTGCTGTTTTGGTCTCTTTGAAACACTGCACACATTGCTGCTAAAAAAAAAAAAAAAAAAAAAAAAAAAAAAAAAAAAAACCACAAGCCAGGTGTGGTGGCGCACGCCTGTAATCCCAGCACTCAGGAGGCTGAGGCAGGAGGATCGCAGTGAGTTCGAGACCAGCCTGGGCTACACAGTGAGTTCCAGGTCAGTATCAACTACATAGTGAGACGCTGTCTCAAAAAACCAAAACCAAACAAACAAACGAACAAAAATCACAGGACACATGAAACCATTTTTTCAAGGAAATAAAAGGTGAAGAAGGAAGCTTAAAGTCTGCTTTGCAGTGGGGTTTATTTGGAGAAGGTGAGGGCAGCACCTGGGAGTGCAGCAGGAGCAAGCTGACAGGTCCCCCGCCTGACTCACCCGGGTGGGGCTGATTGGCCGAGACCACAGCGAACTTCCTCCCTTCCAAGAAACGAAACCTACAGCCTCCTGCCCTGGCTCTCTCCGCCCACCGCGGGAGGAGGGAGAGCCTGGCTGTCCCCGGAGACATTTGTGCAGCTGCAGCAGACGCAGCACCCGAGTCCTGCCTGGCAACCGCGATGACCCTGAGAAACACCACGGCCAAGGATCTGGACAAGTTCATCGAAGACCATCTCCAGCCGGACACCAGCTTCCGCACAGAGGTCAGACAGGCCATCAATATGATCTGTGCGTTCCTGAAGGAGAGGTGTTTCCGAGGTGCCCCTCACCCTGTGCGGGTGTCCAAGGTGGTAAAGGTGAGCCCGGTTCCGCCGCATGGGCTCTCACTGCCCGTGTTCCCCATCGCTGAGACGGGAGGCGACAGTGACGGGGCCTAACTGGTAGGACCGAGGGGGGCGCTGCAGACAGGCGGGCGTGTTCTGTCCCTGGAACAGGGCTCAAGAGTGCTAGTGACGGCTCCCAGCCCTCCGTGTAGGGGCCCTTCTCACCGCATGTCGGCCGTTCCTCTTGTTATCTTTTGTAGGGTGGCTCCTCCGGCAAAGGCACGACCCTTAGAGGCCGGTCTGATGCTGACCTGGTTGTTTTCTTCACAAACCTGCACAGTTTTCAGGAGCAGGTGTCATCCCGGGGAGAGTTCATCACGGAAATTAGGAGACAACTGCAAGACTATCAAACCCATAACTCGAAAGACATGTTCCATGTCATCTTTAAAGTCCAGAATCCAAAATGGTCCAACCCCCGAGTGCTCAGCTTTGAGCTAAGTTCCCGCTGGATCCCAGGGAGGACAGTGGAGTTCGATGTGCTTCCTGCCTATGACGTCCTGGGTGAGCACCCCGGCCCCTGGGGCCTCAGCCTCTGTCCTGTGCCTGGGTCTCAGGCTCTCGCTGTCTCTCCTCTGCTTGTCACAGTTTGGGCTCCCTCAAAACGTCTGTCACTTGAGAGCCACTGAGGGTGGGTGGTGTTAGAATTTCTCCTGGGACTGAGCAAGGTCATAATCCATCATGAAAGGATGTTTTTTGGTTTTTTTTTGTTTTGTTTTGTTTTGTTTGGTACCGGGGATCGAACTCGGGTCCTTGTGCTTGTGAGGCAGGCGGCGGAATCACTGAGCTAAATCCCCAGCCCCCGAAAGGATGATAAGGAGCAAACTGACCCCCTTAGAGGACAAAGACAGTTCTCGTAGAGCGTTCACAGCTGGTCACTGCCCGGCGCGTGACATGGCACACGGCCCCAGGGCGAGTGATGGTACTGACTGCCCCCAAAACTCTGCCCCTTCCACTGCACCCACAACCTCAAACCATCACCTCAGAGGGAGGAGAGAACCTGAGAGGGGCTGACATCTTGAAGTTATGGTTTGCGCCCTAACAGGTCAGGTCAACATCACCAACGCCTACAGACCCAATCCCCAAATATACGAAAAGCTCATCGATGAGTGCACCGTGACGCAGACAGAGGGTGAGTTCTCCACCTGCTTCACCGAGCTCCAGAAGGCCTTCGTGAGAGGGCGGCCCACCAAGGTGAAGAGCCTGATCCGCCTTGTCAAGCACTGGTACCAGCTGGTACGGCCACCTCTGGGGAGCAGGGAAGGAGGTGGGGAGGGAAGACCAAGAGGAGAGTGAAGGAGACCGGGGAGGGGAACAGAGGAAGGGAAGAGTGGAGCGAGTAGGAGGGGAGCTGGAGGGGTAGGCAGGAGGGGGACAAGCAGGGCAGGGAAAGAAAGGGGCGGAGGCGGACGATTTCTGGGCTTCACTCCGAATGGTTTCTCCCACTCTGCCTTCTGAGGAACCAATTTTCTCTTTAGCTGCATCTAATTTATCACTGAGTTGCTAGTTACACTTGTCATTTTTATCCTAGAATTTCTACTTTGTTCTTTTCCAAGTCTGCCACGTCCTGCTATTTCAAATCTCTATTCCTTTGAACCTCATGCCTTTAGTGACTAAAGTCTGGACTCAGTCGATCCATATCAAAAGTTTTCTGTATTTTTTTATCATTTTTTTCCCCACCAATCATGACCATGGGTATCTTATTTCCATGTGGCCATGGAGATCTGGGTGCTGGTCATTGTACTTAAAACTTATTTGTAAATTTTTAAAATGAGGCTCTAGGACCCTATGTCATCTGCCCAACGTCAGACAGTGGTGAAGCTGGGATTCGAGCCCACATCAGGCAGAACTCAGAGCTTGCAGACTCAGCTGAGCACACCTGTCATCTCAGCACTCTACGAGGCTGAAGCAGGAGGATCACAAGTTCAAGCCAAATCTAGGCAACTTGGGGAGACCCTATCTCCAATTGCAAAAACAAGCTGGGGATGCAACTCAGTGGGAAGACGCTGTGTTAGATCCTCAGTGTTGAAAAAAACAAATCCAAGCTCAAACTCTTCACCATGGTCAGCACACTCCTCCTACAGGGGTAATTGGTAAATATGTTAGACTTTAGAGCCACGGGGCATGTGTCACAACTACTCAGCTCTGCTGCTGCAGTGTGAAAACAGCCACAGATGACCTATGAGTGAATGTGCGTGGCTGTGTGCTAATAAAACTTTATTTACAAAAACAGGTCCCAGGCTAGATTATGCCCATGACAAATGGACTTTACACAGAAGCTGGGCAATCCTGTTTCTCTGATTATTTTTTCCTCCTCTCAGTGCAAACAGAATCTTGCAACACCCCTGCCACCACAGTATGCACTAGAGCTGCTGACGATCTATGCCTGGGAAAATGGGAGTGGAAAAACCTCTTTCAACACTGCCCAGGGATTCAGGACCGTCTTGGAATTAGTTATCGAGTATGAGCAGCTCTGCATCTACTGGACGGAGTTTTATGACTTTAAAAACCCCACAGTCGGAGACTACCTGTGCAAGCAGCTGAGGAAACCCAGGTACCCTCCTCCCTGGCCTCAGCTCCCCACACAAGCCAACAAATCCCCGGGTTCGGCAGCAGAGCCCTGGCTACGGGAGGGGCCCAGACCCCACACTTACTGAGCATCTCCTACTGCATGTCGCTGTGCTGGGCACTGGGCATCTGCCACTTGGTGGGGACCACAGCCTCCAGCACGAGGAGACAGGCTTTTGACAGATGGGTAAACTGAGGTTCTGAACCTGGACATAAAATGGTAAGGAGCTTGTCCAAATCAGGACGGTGAGGGACACAGCTGGCACTGAGCTGAAATGAACAGCAGCAGCAGCTGTACCAACTCTTGCCAGAACAGAAAGTCCGCAGTCATGAGCACCACCTTCCGTGCAGGCCCCAGGCGCTTTGCCTCACTGCGCAGTCGCTGTGCTGAGCATTTCCCGAGTCTCGGTTCCGCTTCACACCACATCCTTAGAGACGCCTGTTTGATGTTCAGCTCTCCCCATTTCACAGATGAGGAGACTGAGACTCAGTGAGGGCAGGGGGTGCCCAAGAGCACAGGGCTGACAGAGGGCAGGGGGGAGTTGGGAGCCAGGTTCGTGTTGAAGGCCCCTCTGCTCAGGCCCGCGCTCGCCTGGAGCAACGCCCTGCTGGGTCCCCACCGGCCTCATTCTACCGGCAGCTCCGCCACGCCAGAGCCCTGCTCTTCACTGGCCCTCTCCCGTGATTGCTTCTCAGGCCTGTGATTCTGGACCCCGCCGACCCTACCGGAAACTTAGGTGGTAAAAACTCAGAGCGCTGGCAGTGGCTGGCACAGGAGGCTGAAGCCTGGCTGAGCTACCCGTGCTTCACGCTCTGGGATGGGTCTTCTGTGAACTCGTGGGATCTGCCAGAATTACTGAGTAGATCGATAATGACGCGCGAAATAGGAACGAACTCAGAGGCCAGGCCTTGGAAGGTAACTGGACCCGGGGGCTCTAAGTCTGACTTGCTACTAGCAGGGGTGGAGTCTGCTCAGGGGCAGGTTTGGGGGTGGGAGCTGGTAGTGCCCGCCGCCCTTCGCAGGCTCCTGCCTTTCTGCCTGCTTCCTGACCGCCCGGAGGAGGCAGCTCTCCTCAGGGGCAGGCTGTTCCACCAAGCTGCGTCTGCATTTGAACCTGCAGCCATGAACGGAAACTTCTGAAACTGGGAGCGAAAATAATCTTCACCTGCTTTAAATTACAGGTGTCAGGCGCGGTGTCTGAGTGTCAGGGAAAGTGACTAAGAGAGCTCCAGAGACCCGCGGTCCTCTCTCAGACCACGGATTCAGATATCCCTGCGTAGCTGGATACCTTGCTTACCTGAGAAATGACCTCCTGTCCTTGGTCACCCACTTCCTTGAGTTGCACGCTGGGCTCTGTGCCACATGATCATGTGATCCATGTCACATGACCACCAGGCTGGCCACACCCCTTCTCCAGAGCTCAGTGCCCTTGCAGTGGCAATGATTCATAGGCACCACCTGTGCTGAGATTCTGATCTGGGCTCCAGTTCCGTCCTGAAGCCTTTAACATGCCCGATCTCATTCGAACCTCACAAGTAACCCGTTGAGCCCATTGTACAACCGCCTTTACCTTGAGGACAAGAAAAGGGGCCCAGAGAGTGTGGTCACCTCCTCAGGGTCACTGGGCTGAGGAGTGGCAGGGCTGGGACTCTGGACTCCAACATCAGTGCTCACTTCACTGTGCTGCATGAACAGTGTCTCCTCTCATCCCCTCTCCCCAGCTGACAACTGGGAGACAGCAGCCAGGTGACGGGGCTGTGTCACACCTCTGAGCAGGGACACAGGGACCTGTACTGAGGTCTTTCCATTCCCGGGGTGGGAGGCTTTCTGACACTAGGGAGTTGATGATGTCTTGGTGTCACAGGTGGTTCCCCAGGGGGGCGACTGGGTGGGGTTTAGAGTGCAGGATGTTTGTGTGAGGCCACTGAGCCAATGCGCTGCAAGGGAGGGGAGGAGCAGAAGGGGGCAGGGAGAGAGGCAGTGCCGGCCTCACCGCCCTCAGGCACAGAAACCAAGTGGCCATTAGAGCTGCCACACAGCAGACAGGTGGCCACCTAAGGAGGGCCTCTCCCCAGCCAAATCCTCCCAAAGGGGCTGCAGGTGCCCACTGCCACCTCCTCTGGAGCTGGGACCTAACAGAGCTGGCTCAAGGGGACAGTGCAGGCCAGGGCTCACCGAGTCCTGCCGCAAGGCAGCAAGACCGGCTCCTGATGGATCGTGTTTTACCTCCGCAGACTGCAGCACACTATGAGGGCGCATGGGTGACCCAGCCGCAAGCTGGAACCAGAGGGAATCCTGAGCCTGCCTTCCTGCAGCACATGTCAGCTTCGCCAGCTCAGGAGACCTGGTCATGCACCCTCCTGTGAGCACCGGGCATCTGGGGGCTCAGGTTGACACCAGACCTGAGAGACGACCAGAGAGGGTTAGATAAGAGAGTGCATTCAGCCTTGCTTTTCACCTGTGTCCCATTCATAATCAATGGCAATAAAAATGTCAGCAGGAGCCATGTTGGGTGTTTATTTCCACAGCATCAGGAAGTGTGGGTGGGTGTGCGTTCACAGAGTCTACTGAAAACGTTTGTCGACCCCTTACCAGGTGCCGGCCCTGGGGGCGCAGCAGTGAATGCGGCAGGCTAAAGCCACCACCCCTTGTGGCTCCCAAACCAAGTTACACCATGAGTCTGACACGCACGCTGGGTTTCAAGACTTCACACACAAAATTTTTTTAAAAGAATGCCAAATTCAGGACAACTGACACTTTTTAAAATTGGTTACGTGTTCAAGTGGCCCATTTTGATATACTGCATCGAATCAAAATGAACTCTGCTGTGTCTTTTTCCTCTTTTAGTGCAGCCACTGGGAATCACACGGGGCTTGCGTGGCACGGGGGGGGGGCCTGTGTGAAGGAACAGGCTCCAGGGCTCACACGGCCCCTTCACGCTGCTGTTGACACCAGTGATTCACCGATTACGGTCCAGAATGTAAAAGTGCCCTGAGCTCAGAAGGACCCGACGTGTCCTCGTCACCAGAGTCCCCGGTCACCTAGGGTAGCCAGCGGACTTTGCTTTGTCCTTCTGCCTCCTGCGCTGAGCCCTCAGCACCCCCTCAGGTGTGTCCGCTTTTCTCAGACACACAACAGGTGAGGTCTCAGGAAGTCACTGGCGCAGTCAAAGTGACATCAGAGGGAACTGGGGCACCGCAGGTGGTGGCTGCATTGCCTCTTACCGCCCGGACCACCACTCCGCGTGGCCTTCGGACAGCGTCTCACATCCGTCAAGGCCACAGGGATTGGTAATGAGCCCCTTAGTCAGAGAGCCACACGGCCACGTGATCAGGCCCCCTCCACCCCAGGGCGCATGAGACTGCTTTTCCAAAGGGAACAGAATTTTCCTGTAAACGACATGGTCTCGGTCATGAAAATGAGACAGCTCAGGGTATGAGGTATAATTCTCTGGCTGGGGTTCGCTAAACTGGGATGGACACCCCGCGCTACTGTGTATATCCCGGGCGATGACACCTATTACGGCCTACATGGCCACAGGGCCCTTCTCACCCTAGGGCTGGAGCCAGCTTCTGTTCCTCCCTTCCCCTGGGATGTGATTTGCTTGCTTCTAGTTGTTTGGAAGGTCTGCCATGCTGGGCAGTGCACCCAGAGCCTTCACACTGATCAAAATGCACAGCACCTTTTGCTTTTTTTTCTTTTTTCTTTTGAGACAAGATCTCACCAACTCACAAAGCAGGCCAGGTGGAGGCAAATTGGCAACCCTCCTGCCTCAGCCTCCCAGAGGGCAGAGATTACAGTAATGTGCCACCATGCCCAGCTGTGACACTCCTTTTCACTGACCATCCTGGCCAAAGGACCAGGAGTTCGGGGGCATCTCTACCACCTTTCATGGTGTAAGAGTCCCTAAACCACAGGCCAGTGGATGGCGGCCTCATTATCAACTACATCCTCTGTGAACATGAATTCAGAGGAGAGGGGAGCGCCCAGCAGAAGGGCCCATGCCCACCTTGGGCACACTGTGAGCCTAACTGAGCCCCACTCTAATTTCACCCAGCCCCAGGACCCCTGTCAGATGGGCCAGGCCTGATGCCACCTGGGGTTTCATGCAGCACCAGCCTGACCCTCTGCTCACTGCCCGAGTGGCCCGAGGTTCCCCGGGGATAGCACTGCCGCAGATGCGATCTCTTCACTCCAGAAACAAGGTAAGGGACCGTGACCCGAGCTTCTGGGCTTCCATCCTTGATGTCTTCTAGTGGCCCAGATTGACAAGGGCCCTTTCTGGCTGACCATTGAGTGACACTATGTTGGATGAATCACATCTCAACTCTCTGTGATTTGGGGTCCCTGGCTGCCCTCCGACCTCACCACCCCTACAGCCACTGGGTTTCCCGGTCCCCCAACATCTCGGGTCCTGTCAGTCTCACTGCCGTCTTTGAGCCGTCTTTCCCAGGAGGCCGTTGATGAAACCCGTAGTGACACAGGTGCCTTCTCCAGCACACTCCATGTGGCCCCGGGAATATCCACCCTCCGGGCCTTCCCACGCCAGGGCTCCCAATTCCTGTGCCTTCCCCACTTCCCCTGCCATCTATCGTGGCCAGTCCAGCATTGCAAACTTTCCCCATTTCCCCCACGTCTAGGAACAACGGAGTTCAGGGCAGGTGCGGCGTCTCCTGGGACCTTCCTGGGCATTAAACCCTGCATTGGGAAAGTCTCCTAATGCGCAACACTCCCTCCTGTGATCTTACCCTGCAGCTTCTCGGGCCGGATCCCTCAGTGTCCCCTGCGCTCATCCACACCTGCCCTCTGCTGCCACGTGAGACCCGGTCCTCTGGACCCAACTTCTCTTACAGGTCATCCCAGCCTGGCCATGGCCTTGGGAAGCAGGGAAGGTGGTGCGGGTTCTGCACCTGGGGTCTCTTTGTGGACCGGGGGCCTCGGCGGTGTGTTCAAGCCAGCCGGGAGGCACCAGCTCTTAGCAGGAAGGAGGGGGCCATTTCTTGGCTCGGAGACTAAAGGCAGATTAGAGATTCAAGATTACTGGGGGCTGTGGTTTGAGCTGGAGTGGAGTTTTTCCGGCCCAAAGCTCAGGTTGAAGTTTGGGCACTATCCAGAGCTGGAGCCTCAGGAGGGGATCAGGTCACCGTGAGGGACCAGTGTCCTGTCCCCCACTGGACTTGCCCCTGTCTCTGGGCTCTGGGAATAGCAATAGTAAGGAGCACAATTGCTAGCCTCTCTCGCATGTCCCGCACATCCTGATACCAGCTCTCTCGGGAAAACACCCTGACGTGAAAACCAGAACTCCAGTGCGAAGGGAATGGGATCCTCACCTCACGCCACATGCAACAATCAACTCAAAATGGAACGAGGCTGAAATTAAAACTCCTTCAAGAAAACATAGAGAGAGAGATCTTCGTGACATGGGGTCTCTCAACGATCTCATGGCCACGGCACCAAAACCACAGGCGACCAAGAGGTGTACGCGTGCGCACAGGGTGCAAGGCAGGGATTTGTCCCCAGTTCTTGTGAGTGGGCAGTTGCCCGGCAGTACCATCGTCAGGACCCCTGTCCCCACTGGCCGGTGAGGCCACCGCTGACTTGTACCGAGCGCCTACAGTGTGCTGCCCGACGCGGTCCCCTCACACTGGTCTCGCTCCATATCCTGAGTGAACTGTGCCTTCTCTTCACTACTGGAGCCTTACAGGTCTTCATATCTAGCACAAAAGCACTTTTCTCTTTTGATCAAAGGTCACAGTTCAGTTCCACTTCTGGCCGGGCGTGCCGCGCACAGCTGGACCGAACAGTATTTCTGATAACAAACCCAGCGGTGAAAGTCCTTTCTTTGACTGTCCGGATTCATTTTCCCAGAAGGACTGGATGACACCGTGCGAGGGGCGCACGGGTTGTTGCTGGTCTACAAACCTTTCAGTGTGAGGGGAAATACTTGTCTGGACCCTCGAAGGTGAGAAATCTCTAAGAGGAAACCAACACCATGAGGATGACAGACTCAGGCCACAAAGGTGCTGGAACGCAGAATTGAAAAGGGCAAACCGAGGTCCATCTGACCCCACACTTCTGCTCCACGCGGATCTATAATTCCATGCAGATGATAGACTTATTCAGAATGGCCCAAAGTGGGACTTCACACCCACCTGAATGGACCCATTGGCTCACAAACCATGAAGAAACGAATAGCCAAGAAGCTAACTCTTGACATCAATAATCAGATGACTCTGACTGACAAAAGAAAAGAACTGCAGAAGGATGCTTCCAGTTGTTTCAAATTACTCGTCAGCTGACTACTTACTGGGCCTGAAGATATTCTAATGGTCACAAATGACATCGTTAAAGACACAGGCACAGGTGGTGAGGGAGGGCCCAGGGCAGCCCGGAGTGTCTCTCTTCGGTGCTAGTGATGCCCAACTCAGAACAGGTGGCTGAGCACTGTGTTGGCTGACAAAGCCAGAAAGGCCAGGATCAGATTTGCCTTCAGGCATGGCTGGATCCAGGTCAACCATACTCAGGTTTCCTCTGTTCTCAGCTCTTCTTTCTTCTTCTTTCTTCTTCTTCTTCTTCTTCTTCTTCCTCCTCCTCCTC